AGGCCAATGCATGGCTCATTCTCAGGAATTTCTTTTGATAGTCCACATCTTAGGTGATGTAGAGGTCCTGGCCTCGGAGGCCAAGTGCAGGAACTGGCTCCAAGACATCTCATGCTGGCAGCTGTCCAAAACAAAACACTGGGCTCCAGTCACCTTTGATCCAGACTTTGACACACAAATCACTCTGGGCTCTCTCTTTCCACATTTCATTTATGACATAACTTGTATATTTTGAAACAATCAGCCTAGTTCATAAATCATATACTAGTACCTGAAACATCATTTGATTGGATCTCATTTGTTTCACAGTAATTTACATAAGATTTTGAAACCAAGAAGAGTCTGTTGATGTTAAGAGAAGTTTGACCAATTAACCTAACATAATAAGTAAAAATCTATACATTTATTAACCCTGAAGGAATCTCCTAAGCACAAACTCACGAACTTGTCCTTACACTTTCAACTCACAGCTGCTCAAGTTGAAAGCAGCCTTTCTACAAAGGAAAGCAGCTATGTGCTGCTGCCATCTAAGCAGAGTACTGAACTCCTCAGTACAAGAGAGACATGGAGCTCATGGAGCAAGTTCAGGGGAGGGCTACAAAGTTGATTAAGGGACTGGAGTATCCCTCTTACAAGAAAAGGCTGAGGGAACTGGGCCTGCTCAGCTTCAAGAAGAGATGACAGAGAGGAAGTCATCAATGCCTAGAAGTACCTAAAGGGAGGGTGTCAAGAGGATGGAGCCAGGCTCTTCTCGGTGGTGCCAAGCAATAGGACAAGAGGCAATGGGCAGAAACTGATATACAGTTAGGGTTAGGAAATTCCACCTAAATATGAGGAAGAACTTTATTGTGTGAGTGACTGCATTGGAATAGATCACCCAGAGAGGTTGTGGAGTCTCCTTCACTGGAGATACTCTAGAACCATGTGGATGCAATCCTGTGCCATGTGCTCTAGGATGGCCCTGCTTGAGCAGGGAGATTGGACCAGATAACCCACTGTGGTCCCTTCCAGCCTGACCCACTTTGTGATTCTATATGACTGACATCTAAGCAGGTCACCAGCAGAGTTAAAAACTACAAGTTAAGCCTAACTTCATATATTCCCTTTAAAACCTCTTTTATCTATTCCCTCATTTCAAGTAATCTTATTTACTCAAAACTTATTTGAACATTTTTTTATGCAAAACACCTCAAGATAAAATTGACTAGCATGACTCCAGACTCAGAGAGAAACAAACACCATTAATTTTGAGCATATTTCTTAAACCTTACCTGCGCAGAGAAGTCAATTAACTTTGGAAGCAACAATTTGCTTCCTTCATCACTCTTCAGAAAATCCAGTAAACTTCCTGTTACAACAGAGAAAGATTAAGTCAGTGCAGCTCATTACCAAAATAAAGGTCACACCAGGACCCCAATTTTCTGGATCACAAAATTTATGCAGTGAAGTATTTTCAAGCCGACCACAGTAATACAGTCTCTTTGCTTAATTCAATGATAGTAACATCCAAGTCAGCATGTCAGACATCCAAGTTTTACCATTTCTTGGGTGTAGAAAACTCCTGTCAGACCATGCCTCTGTTCAGTGGTGCTGAGTTTGTTAAGCACCATAGTCTACAGAGTATAAGGAAAGCTGTCTAAGAGAATCACAGATATTAACCCTTTCCAAGTCATAAAAAAAGTGCCTCAAGTCCATGAAGTTATCAACAGAATTGCTTAAAAAGAGGACAAAACAAGAAAAACTACCACCCAAGACAATCTGAGAAGAAAACCGCT